CGGGGGTGACAGGCGTGCATGGTGAGATTCGAACCCAGGTGCGGAAGAAGAGAACAAGTTTTTCCCACCACTAGGCCAGAAACTCACTTACAAAAAAACCCACTAAATCCTTTTATTTTGCTCTTAAAACAGTTAAAAAATAAAACTTATTCTAGTCTTTAATCATCATTGAATATATTGATTGGAGTTATTGTTGTTTTTACAAGGTTTTTAAATAACATAAAATTTTAAGTATAATTTTTATATAGAAGAAAAACTATAATTTTATTGTGGTTTTTGCATATTATATTAAAATTATAAAAAATTTAACTACCCAAGAATCATAAAGTAAATTAAATTTTAGAATAAAAAAATTATGATTTTATGAATTTTTTCATTCTCAACACACCAAAATTCTTCAAAATTAAATAATAGCAGAAATGACTAGATTATTTTTTAAAATATCTAGTTATTTAGTTTGTTAATTAATATTACGACTTGCTTACAACCATAATATTTAGTTAAATATCGTGTTTTTAAATCTTAATATTATTAAAATATCACATTATTATACCGTGACATCCCAAATGAATTAAAAAAATGACAGATTACTTTTTTTTTTTGAATTAAAAAAATGACAGATTACTTTTTTAAAAAAAATGGAACAATAAAATTTTAAATTAAAGTTTTTTATAAGGTGATCCTATCCCGCAGAATTTTATGTTATATATTCTTGCTGTCTTTTTTATATTATTTTCGCCTGGCAGGTTGTGATGACAAGGCTACAATGGCCAATTCTTCACCTCATTCCTCACCTCTTTGTTTCTTTCTTTTTTCTGTTCTCTCCTCCACTTGGTTTCTACACAAGCTTTATTTTCGTCTTCCTTTAACTAGATGTTTTTTTTTTCTTAGTTTTAATTTTAATACTTTTTATTTCAATCTTCTGAAAACCAAAGATTTTAAATATTTTTTTATAAAATTAAGTAACAATTTAATAGCGATATTTCTTTACTCCACGAGAATCTCTCATTGAATCTATCAAAACAAACTGACATTAAAGAAAATAACTTAAAATAATCAAATTAAAAAATATATATACATGAAAAAAAGCTCCATTGAATTCACAATGCAATTATGCGTGAGTGCACAGTAATTTAAACAATAAATTGCTTACCTCCTTTTATTTTATTTGTATGAGTTTTTTAACGGTTTATGGAAGGAATACGTATTCAGTTAACACCAAAACATAGAATTTTCAACGAGAGACGGTGACGGTGACGTAACGTTGTTAATTGCATCATATCACGTGAGGGGTGGAGTGTCCATGTCAGATGGGCATGGAACTGGAGGATGGTTTTAAATGGCAGTCATGGTTACGGTTGCCGTGTAGTTCAATAACCTTAAACGATGTATTTAATATATATTACGGTTGGTATCTGTATACATTAATTATGCGTGCATAAATTATATTAAAAACTCATCAAAAAAATCTTTTTGAAGCGTGACGTCGGCGACCCCAATTATAGGCATGACACTAATTTCTATTATTTATTTATTTACTTACATGAGATAAGAACGTGTTGATAATGTAAATATGTTTTCTTGTCTTGTCAAGATTTTAATTGGAAATTAAAATTTTGATGGGTATCTTTAATGAAATGATAAAATTATTGCCGACTTGAGTAAAAAATTAAAATATATATCCACATGATAATATCTGATTTTGGAACATTGATGTATATTTAATTTTTTTTTATTTAACTATATAAAATTAAATATTTTTATCATAAATATAATAATTTAGATTTTATTGATATTATAAATTATTATTCTTTTACTAGTGTGTTTTTTTTAAATATATTTCTTTAACTATGTTGTTTTT